GGCTGCAGCAGCGGTGTGCAAAGGAACCATTTTATTAGGACAAATGAGAGAACGGCGTTAAACGAGAGTCTCGCAGGCCACGAAGGAGAAAGTACAAAAATAACGAGCGGAGCAGTCAGCGGGGACCCCCGAACAGAGGCCATGGCCACCTCCGGGCACGGCCGGCCCCTGGTTCCCCCCAGCCACCATCGCAGAGGTCATTTAGAAATACTGTAGTCATCACCTGCAGCAGCGTTAACTCCAACCGCAGCCCAGCCAGTCACATCACCCACGGGAGATGCGTGCACAAAGCCACCCGTTTCGTTAAAGGAAGTGTTATAAAAATAGTGTTTAAAAAGAAGCGTAAAAGAAGGAGTTTTAGAGTGATGAAGTGTTCTCTAGACCCTGCTCTGGCAATCCTTTCCAGACAAGGTTAAAAAAAAAGTGTTATTTGTTCCTTTCTTTCGGGCAAAGGGCATTTTAAAGGAGTGCTCCAAACGGCTAAAACAAAGTCACTGACATTGAGGGAAAACTGCCTCCGCCTTCCCAGACACCCCAGACTCCCCCAGAGCAACTTCTGGCCTTCATTCCACTCACTGCCAAAGTGTGAATAATTCTAAGTGAGGTCACAAAATTCAACCTCGAAACCAGTGTTCTGAGTAACCACCATCAATGACTTGATCTCCAGTATCCTGCTGCTTCTACCCTCATTTGGCAAAGCCACAAAGTTTCCCAAAACCTGAATTACAGCGAGGTGCAGGTAGAGCAGCCCTCCTCCTCCCAGGGAAGGCTCATTTCTCCCCACATCCAGCACAGTGTCCTGTTATTATCTCCCCCTTCCCCTGCCTGGCAGTAGTCCTGTCCGTGAGGAACACATCACAAGAGTTATTTAAATATCCTCTGTTTAGGCCCCTATGAAATAAGGGGTCCCCAAGGCACCCCAGATTAAGACCTCCTGACCCAAAGTCCTGCTGCTTCAGCCAACCTCACTGCTCCTGCAGCAGATGAGGACTGAAAGGAATCAGAGGTGGAAACTTCTCAAGGGTGGAGCAGTTGTTACTGGGCCACACAAGCAAGGAACCACTACTTACTTAAATACTGCGTGACCTCATCAACAACAAAAGAATCAGCAAAAGCTTTTGAGGAATGAAGCCAAGGAAACTCATGAGGAGACAAAAAGCTGGTTACAAGTTAAAAATCTCTCTTCTCTCCTCAGAAAATCTAGTGTTGCTCTTAAAAAAAAAAAAAGAGAAAGTATTGGGATAAAGAAATAGATGTCCCAAGTAATTGAAAAGTACAACTCCTTTCAACAGCCCTTTTCAATAGCAGGACAGAAGTCCTACCACACAGGAGGGGATAAGGAGTGACATAAAACAGCTTTTCATGTAGAATCCAGCTTGTCTGGGTGTATCAAAGTTGTTACAAGCTCTCTCCAAAGAAGAACTCGAGCAGTTTAGCAGCCACAGTCCAGATAAGGCTGCAGAATTTATCCCAGATAACCTTTCCATCAGCCAAAGCTCTCATTGCATCCCATTAAACCACCACAGATTCCTTTTAAAAGCATTTACTGACACCCCTGAAGAGAAGTTAAGGTGGCACAGTATAAGCCCTTCAGCAGCCAGAAGTGGAGGTGACAGCATCACACCAGTACAGCCAGCCTGCAGCAGCCCGTGCCTGCACCACTGCTTGTGTAGCCACCTCTCCAGTGTCTTCCTCTGCAGGAGGTCAACCTCAAGACCCAGACACTACTCTGAAAACAAACAGAAGTGCATCTACAAGCAGTGCTTTAATCCCAGTTTGCCTGCTGCCTTCTCAGGTTGTTTTAAGGAGACTTCTGGCTACTCAGAGCAGGAACCCTCGTGGATGCTCCTGTTACCAGTGAGAAAATACAGCCTAAGGGAGCCCTGCACTTGTCAGAGGGTCCCAAAATGGACAGCCCAGGTATTTGGGGAGCAGAGCTTGTACGTGGAATGTGAGAGAGCTACGGCAGTTTTTGGAGCAGCTCTGGGGCAGGAGTGTTTAGAGGAGGTCCAGTTCTGCCTAAAAGTTCAACCCTTTGGTTCTACATCTGTGCCTACCTGCTAGCCGCACGTGGTCTGGCCACCAGCCTCTCTAGTCCAGGGTACCCAAAAGCTGGAACCATGAGGCCACCTGGAACAGCTCAGCCACAGAAGGCAGGAAGAGCATCCATCAAACGGTTAGAGCAGACAGGATGCTTCATCACACGGCTGTCCTGGTCTATCTGCTCCATATTTCCTGGAGGAAAACTCTACCCTCTAGAAAGGATTGCAGCAGAGACAGACACTGTTAGCCACAAGTATTAATTACAGATTGTTTTAAGTCTGCAGTTGCTCCACCGCAGCAGCAATACCTGGCTGCACCAGAGTTGAGCTTCTTCTGAAGAGGCAGAGAAATTGCTTGGGATTGCCAGTAAGAACACAAGCACATTTCTCAACCTGTCCTCTGGGCTCCCTACCCACCCTTGTGAGAATTGCAGCAGCCTGTAAAGAACTGGCCTTCAGTGAAGGGAATAACAACTAGTGAAAAAGCTGAAGGCTGTCAGCATCCCTCCTGCTAGGGTGATTCTAGGCCATCAGCAGCTTAAGCAGATCTTACAGAGACTGACCTTTAACAAATCAATATCCATAAATACCGAAAACTGCAGTGTCAAACAGCTATGTAGAGGTGAGCCAGCGCAGCACAGGAAGGAAGGGAAAAGCACGCTGGATTAGTGTTCACTCAAGAGCTTCTGCACCTGGGTGCTGGCAGTTTCTCCCTCTCAGGATTACAGTTTCTGAGCAGCTCGACAGTGCTGGCAGGTTAGCAGTTCTCTCTGTAATTCGTCTTGGTCAATGTTCACCTGAACCTGCTCCACTGTATTTGAAATGCTGCAGTTTCACTCTCACAAGGAACAAGTGTCCAGCCCAGGGCTGTGACTCCAACAGAACCAGTACACAGAAAAGTGGATCAGCCCCAGCAGTCAGCGAATGACCAAAATGCTCGTATGACCACTGGATTACACCAGAAAAGGACTTTTGCTTTTAAGTCGGACCTGTACCATGTCTCTTCCTGGCAAGAAGTACTATGAGACAACATCAAGGTTACTGTGACCAGAGCCTATGCACAGTAATATTATGCAAGCCAGTGAGGCAGAAAACCCCAGCACGACTCTTGCATAAGCCCTCAAATACAGCTGTCTTCATTGAGCGTGACCAGGTGCCCCTTTCTTGTATTCCAGAATCCTGATTGTAGCCAGATATGCTCCAGTTCAGAGCCAGGAAAGCAGCGTGAGGCCTCCTTGCAGCAACAAGCTCCTGCTCTAAGGCTGTGCGTAATAAGGCTTGACTTCAAAGCACACTTCACTCATTGATTCAAACCACCACAGTCTTGCTTTCAAGGAGACTTTGTTGATAAGGCGATTCTGGATTCAGGCAGGTTCAGTGCACAAAGCTGCCAGCTGTAATCACGTCCTCCCATCTCAGCTTCTCAAGGTCTCTTTCCCAAGGCAAAAGGGTCCAAACCACCAGATGTCAGACAACAATCACCAGAAGCTGATGCAATCTTCTTCTCTGCACACCCCAGACATGGCTAAGTGCAGACACAAAGTAGAAGAATCCAGAAACTACTTGAATCGCAGGATGTGGGACTTCATTGGGATACATTCTGTTCACGGGAGGAAGATCCTTCTATATTCACCCACTAAAATCAACAGACTCAGCCTGTCCCTTTCCCATCAGAAGTTACTCCACGTGTTACTTCCATGATACAGGAGTCCATCCCTTCAGGGATATGCAGACAGATGGTTTCTTTCTCCCCAAACTTAAAGTCATTTTAAAAAGATTCAAAGAACTGCTTTTAGCAGCACAGAGGCATTTGAGATTTGAAAAAATCTGGAGTGCAGAACCCAAGTAGATGGGGAAGTAATCAGTCCTTGACCTAATAAATAGAGTAGAAGGAAATCTTCAAGGTGGCCAGTAGCCCAAACACAAAACTTGAAGTCCTGCAGAGACCAGGAGGAGCTTGAATGCATCACACCACATGGGGGAGTCTCCTGGGATCTGCTGCCATACAGCTTCTGACACCTTTGGTCAGGTTCACGGGCTATTAGGAATCTTGAAGTTCCTTTGCTTTCTTCAAAATCAGATGAACGTCAGAGATAGGATAGTCCTATGTCAAGAAACAAAGTGGCAGAAGTGACTAACTAGCATTTCTTGCACACATTGTTTCACTTAAGCAGGGAAAACCTCGACAACAGCATTCCTGACCTGTTATAATGTACTACCAGGTTCAGTTACTCCCCTAACAGCCAAGTTTCCTGTTTTGTAACTGATCAAGCCTCAGTACCCTTCAAGAAGGTTGTGTGTGTGCAGGGGGGTGTGTGTTTGTTTCTTTTAATTTCTCCTCCAAGGAGACAGTAAGCTGGCCTACTACAAGGGCTATCTTCATGCCAGAAAACCTTATCAAAGCCAGTATCTTGCACAGCCCAAAGCAGGAACTGGCAGAATCAGAGATCCTACTGTGCAGTACAGGAGCTTTCAACCTTGGGCTCTCAGATGTCAGAACTAAACAAAAGCCTCTGGACAACAAATGTAACACTGTTACACATGGTTTCACATCTTTGCTGGAAAATACTAAATTTTTTGCAAACCAAAAGACATTAAAAACCTCTACTCTGTGACAATTTCTGTAGGCTACAATGAGTGCACGAGCAAAAGGTGGCTTTATTTTAATGGCAATGCTGGGCTCCAGACAGCAGCACCGTGCCCCACCAAGAGAAGAACAGAGAAGGAAAATTACTCTCTGAAATAGGGCCCATTGCTACTATAGCTCTAAAAATGGGGAGGAAGGAGAAGAGATCCATACAGAGCTAGGAAGACAAAACAGAAAGCATACAGCCAACTTCTACATGTGGAAGTGAAAAACCTGGTTAGTGGCACAGGGACCAGAGACACCATCACCAAGGAAGTCAGAGTAGTGATTTGTCACAAGTTCAGTTTCCCAGTGGGTGGTGGGGACCACAGCATGCAAAGATTCCTACTTCCAGTAGTGAGCATGCTGCAAGATCCACCTTCAGATTTTTCTGCATGCAACCATCAGGAATCTGGTACTTCTCTTCAGCCAGGCCTACCCCGACCATCATCCTCTCACAGTACTATTTCAAGACTCTTCAAATCACTCCCCATGCCCACTATATTGAAACTTTACCTGTAGCAGCCTCATGTTCAGAGTGAAGTCTCCTTCCAGCAACTGATCCCGGATTAGTCTGAAAGATGGAAATTATTCCAACTACTTTTGACTCTTTACAGAGAAACTTTAAAAACGGACTACACTGTGCCCTTAGAGAGGCTTTTGAAAACACGTCTGCTGCCACTGTAACAAGTATAACCGATTTACCAGATGCTTTATCACATGGCTACAGAAGACTCGTGGATCCACAAATTTAGGTAAAGGATGTAAAGGCAAGAGCAGGAAGGCCACCTCCGTACTTACGTCAACATGGCACAACAGACGAGCAGAAGAAAATCAAAGCGCTTGTCATCGGCAAAGAGGGAGTCCCAGATACGGATGACATCTGGCAGCAGGAACTCTTGCGACAAGAGCAGTGTCAGCCAGCGGAAGGCAAAGAACTGGGGTTTGATGTTCTGTTCTTGCTGTCAGACACACACCAGGCAAAAAATCAATATGTGTTCCCCAACTCCCTACAAGTAAGAGATGCGCCCCACGTTGCCATCCCGCTCTCCACCCTGCTATACTCACACTGCAACATCAGCAAACCCACCGCCTCCTCTGAAGGCTCTCACAGTCAAGCTAGACAGAGATCTTAAATGCAGCCATGCTCCACGTCTACAGACAAGGCAGAAAATGCTCCTCTGTCCATAACGTGGAGTAAAAGCAGCTTTTCTTCCTAAAGGCACTATTTGTGTTAGTTCTGTTGAACTTGCCAAGTAATTTTAATGTCCCATTTGAACAGCATTTTATCTGCAAAGCTGCAGCCCTCCCCCTCTAGCAGAGGCACTGTTTTGTCAGGATTTCCTCTCTTTTCCAGAAACCCTGTATTTATCAAAAGGTTTACTATTCACAAAAAGAAACAACGATGGAACAGAGTTCACACTGATGGTCAGCAAAACATACTGTAAGCACTTCTAGACTGAAGCTTTCCTGTTTTCTGCTGTTAAATCCAAGGGACCATAAGTTTAATCAAGGTCAATTAAGTTCAGAATCCCGCTGATATTCTTAAGGACCAGCTGCTGCATGGCCAAGACCATTTCCTGCCAGGCAAACTGAAAGCAGTTTATTTTCTCCCCACTGCATCAGCCATCAGCCAACACCGTGGGTCACTTCTCTATACTGGCAAACCATCTTTTGGATTATAGAAGAAATATATCCTGATTTTTCTAAACACACACACGCAAAAAAACCCCTCTGAGTAACAAGAACAGCTTTCCCTTCCAAATTCTTCTTGGACTTTCAACCTAAATGAACTATAAGACCTGAAGGTGTTTTCAACAAAAGCTGCTTTCTACATGTTCTACAAAACCCACATCAACCCAAGGCACTCAGAGACCCCTGGACGAAGGGGAATGATAGAATTAGGTGAGTGGGATGGTCCAGCTTGCTGGATTTCAATTTACTTCTGGAATGATCTTCATGCAGTTGAAGTTAGTGCTGTCAGGGCAGACAGTGGCAATAGAAGTGTGCGTGGAGGAGGCGGAGGGCACTGGTTTTTGTTTTGTTCTTAAAGACAGAGAGACAATTCCTGCAGCCTTAAATCCAAGGAACCCTACAGTAAAGCTCATGTTTTTCCTGATAACTAGAAGAGTGTAAAGACCCAACTGCAACTGGACCTCAACCCAGGTGATCAGAGACCATGGCCAAGTCACTTCAGACTCACTGCTGGCAGCTGTGCAACAACTATTGTTTGCTTTCAGTCAGGCAGCGGAGGAAAGCCTTGCTGTGTCAGCTTGCTCTCAGCTTACTCCAAGGAAAGGCTGTTTCAGCTCACAGATAAAGAGCTTCTATATCCTATAGGCAAAGCCCTTCATACACTCTCTCAGCCTTTCTATTCAAGCACAGTTTAACAAAACCAGCTGACATTTAAAGGCACTACTAAGCTCCACTCCTTGCGTTCCAACCGGGACTCAGAGAAACACCCAGCTCCTCACCAGTTTCAAATACAGCTCCACATCTTTTTCCTTCAAGGTGGAGTAGACCTTCTCCATTTTGTAGGTAATACCACACTGAGAATCATCCAGGCTCTTAATGAAGTTGTCCCGAATTTCAGCCATTAGATTGGTAAAGCAGAAAAACGTGTCTGCTTCAGCATGTTCTGGGAGGAGGAAAAAAAAAAAGAGAAAGATGGACGAATAGAGGAAGCAGCACTGACAGAGGCACAGAGACTTAGAAGTGTTCTTACTCCATAATCTGGTTGCTGTACTGCGTTCAAATAGCAGATCTCACAAGATCTTGGCTTGCTTGCTCTGGGACAAGATGAGACACCATGTAGTTTTTTGGGGTTTGTTTTTTTTTTCACTAGAAACATCTACAGAGCCACTGCAAGTACAGACCCTGTGTGCAACACAAGGTCACCATGACCTGGGGTCACAAACCAGTTATCTATGCCCAAAACCACCATCTGCTCACCCCACCATCAGCACACACCCTTGGAGCTCCTGTGAAGTAGAAGCAACTGGCAAAGTATTCCCATTCCATTCTGTTTTTACCAGGTATAGATAGTACAAGCAAACAAGAACTTCTATAGAGATTTTGTGTTCCAGGAAGTGCAGCTTAGATCCACGCAAAACAAACAAAACCTCCTCAGAAATCCTTGTTTCTCGTGTCCTCACCACTCACAGCCCATTCAGCTTCTATCAACTTGCTGTGGTCCCCAAACTCATCTCTTGCTGTAGTTGCTTTTTGGTTCAGATCAGTCAAAACAGAATTGTTTGAAGACAGTCTTATTCCCAAAACAGTTCTTTATTATGCAGAGAGAATGCAGCATGACAGCCATTGAGTGGCCAAAAGAGTCTCTCACCTTTCCACTCACTGTTAGGGTCTGTAGCAAAGGTGTAGTAAAGAGGCCCCACGATTTCATTCATTCCCTGAACGTACGCTATCCCGGGGTTCAGCTTGGCATAGATGAACAGGATTCGCTCCACCACTTCCCAGTGAGCTTCACAGCCATTGGGCAGGACTTCGTACTCGCTCAGAGAACTAGGAGTCGTTTTAAGAGGGGAGCTCACCTGAAGAGCAAGGCGAGACTGCGGTTGACTCAGGGTAACCAACTGGCACAGTTTTGTACATGTGACAAAATGGCTTTTAATACACACAGCTTCCCCAAAAGATTTAGGCAGCTTATACCAAGCAGGCAGGTGTTCACATAAACTAAGACAAAGAACTTGGAGAGCACAAAGGCACTGAAGTCCTTGTGCAGGCTATCCCTGAAGAACAAAGCAGTCGGCAGCAACAGACAGTACCCCTGAATCACTGCGCCACCTCATTCCATGCCGTACAAAACCGCAGCAGTTCCACTTCTTTGTTAGTAGCGTGAAGAAAAGTATAGATCTGCTGCGGTAGCAAACCACCATCCCCAACCGCATGTGGCACTCGTACTGTAACAGTCATGAAAGAGGAAAGAGGCAACACGCATTTCAGAGGATACCCAGCTCTTTTCCTAACTGCACATTTAGGAAATTCAGTTCTGAAACACTATGTAAATTCAACTTCAATAAATTAACCCTTCAGTGTTTTGTTCCCATACAGAAAGGCACACGTCAAGCATAAAATGCTCTCATCTTCCTGCAACTCCAACTTCCACCAGAAGTCAGGAAAAAATAACCCTTAAAATTAAATACACCTTGTAACTTCCTACCAACCATCAGACACATCGACTGGTTCTACAGAGCTGTATCACCACCAGAATACACAGTACATGCTGGGGAATTTGCCCAATTCCACCATACAAGCAGAGAGAAACAGAAAAAAGCCCAAGAAACATCCTTCCCCTTATCAGCTGCCCCACGGACAGCCCCCAGCTAGATCTCACATTTGTAACGCCGCTGCGGTTTCGCGCCACCGTCTGTGACTTGAGTGTGGTCTGCTCCACCCGCTTGCGCAGCGTCTCAAACTCATTTTGGGGGTCCAGGATTAAAAGGCAAGGGTAGTCCGTTGGGCGCTGGAAGAATGCCATGTCAGGGTACAGCCTCCTAGGATGGATACAGAAGGAAATCAGGCATGAGAAGAAGGAAGTACATGCCCCATGTTGAATGGGAGGCTTAGTTTAATATTAAACTTCGTTTTCAAAGTACAAAGTGTTAAACAAACCACTTGGGTTCAGAAACCTGAGTCATTATGCCTCACACACCTGACATCTTTGTCTATCTGGAGAAGCACTTCATTATCCTTGAAGTAAGTGTTCCATCGACTGTCTGGGTTTGGATTGAGAGGCTAAAGAAATAAACAAACAGACCAAGCATGTTTCACACGTATCAAAATCCTCAGTAAATATACAGCGATTTAACATTACTGCTGTCCCTCTGCCATCTAGTACCAGCCCGCTCCTAACACAGCAGGTTTGATTTTTTTCTCTCACTAGCTACATTTAGTGTTGTTTCTCCAGACAGTACACAGGAAGCAGATCAGAGCTTGTGAAACAAATGAGCGTGTAGGTTCACTCAAGACAGACAGAAGCCAACATTTCCAACCCCTCTTCACCTCCCTCTTAATGACTTTGTTCCCAAACCACGTATCCTGGCGTGCGTCAAGATGATTCCCGATTGCAGCTCCAATCTGTACAATGGAGACGGTCTTTGTACTTAGGTAAGAGTTACCCACCCACACAGTACTTAAGCACTGTGGTTATTAATTACAAGTATCCCCCTCTAGCTCAGCTCTGAGAAGGCTGATTAAGCACCACCATTGTCCCCAGGAAAAAGGAAATATATATATCCCTGGTCCTCCCCCTCCACACACACTTTCCGCTCTCCAGATCAAGATCCATGCTAAGTTATCAAGCAAGACAAAAAAAAAAAGAGCAGTATTCCAAGAGATTCAAAGGTCCCTGTAACCTGCTGATGTGTGGAGTGTTACAATCATGCTAGTTTTACAGCACCAAGGCCCCCAGAGATCATGGTAGCACAGATGATGCACACTAGCAGAGAAGTTAACATTGAGGGCCAGTCGTGGAAGCAGCTGGATCATTTTACAGTCTCTTCTGATGAGTTACTTCATTCCCTTCAACACACACACTCTTAACAGTGCTTTCAGAGAAAGAAAAAGCCAAAGGACGCAGAAAACAGTCAATTAAGAAAAAAGTCATCAGCAGAATTAGAAATAAGTGAGTCTCCTGCCTTCCATGCCATGGTCCAACTTGACTTTCCTGCCTCCTTTACAGCCCCTCACCACTCTGAGGGCACCCATGACCTGACTTCCCAGA